ATGCTGTACTTCAACGGGAAAGAACAAATAATATACGGCAAGATACCGGCCATGGTTGTAGACCGCTGCGGGTGCTCATGAGATCATCGCGAGATCCGTTGCTTCATAAATTGTGGAAGCCACCATAAATTGTGGAAGGCACCAAAAAAAAAGAAAAAAAAAAAAAAAGATATACCCCCTCTCCAGTCTTTGAAACTGTGAAGTTACGTACACTAGGCATTGCCGACATCCTATATGCTGTATGATAGGCTATCGTACAGATTTAGTGCAGCACCAGCTACGGAGCGTGAACTAAAGGACGATAAAGTTACTTAACAGCTGGTTTTGAGCCAGTGAAGAGGAAAAGCTACAACCAAAATCACCGGATTTAACACATGAAGTTCTTATACTGCGAGGGAATCAATATTCAGTCATTCAGATGCAAATTTATATGCAGGTTTCAATACATGTTGGTAATCAAAAGCAAGCTCCTTCCCATCTGAGCACGGAGGGAGCAGGCTTTTCAGTCCATGTCTTCACAGCTTCACTCAATATTGTATTTACAGGAAAATATATACTGGTAACATATACACCACTACACAAAACCACCAGAAGCATCCTTAAACACTTGAATATATCGTGCAGAATTGTGAAATATATCAGATGAAATTCCACATAAACGGACAAATCCTGAAATTAGGGATGGCATAATGTATTTAGCGTGTTTCCATTCCTTTTTCTCCTTAGTATGTTAGTAATCAATGGCAATGGTGCTACGTAAGAAGGCTGAGTAAATAGATAGTTATCTAAGTGAAAGAGTTTAGAATAATAACGAATTTGCCCTATCCTCAGGTACACTATTCAACATTCGCAAGAAATAGATTTTTTTTTAAATGAAAGGGAATAGTTTTCTAGACACAGTAAAACAAAAGGCAGCAGAGAAGTCTGACACTCATTGTAATCCCACATTATAATCTGCCTTTGCAACATTACCGTTTGCACTATGATAAACCAATGCAAATAGTTGGTTGCTACAGATATTGTTTAAAAAACCACTTTGATATAACTGACTTGTGTAATATGTATGCATCAATATTTTGTAAATAAATGTTTATTTTTTAATCACTGTTGGTATATGTTCATAGCAAGAAAAAAATGACTTTAACCTGTACTTTAGTTTAATAAACAAAAACCAATACTCTCTTCATAATATAATTTCCTGGATTTTAACACAAATAATACGTAGGAACAATGCAACAAAGTAAACCATATGTTGAGAATTATACTACATTTTATATGTTTTTTACATTGGTATGAGCCATCTGTGATAAATGATGGGTGTTGACATGTTTATAAGTTCCTTTGAGTTACTGTTTTTACGGTCATTTTGGTCTACAACTGAATTTCCATACTTTGAATGTTACGTCCATAAATAATGATGATACCACAAAAGATTGCTATTAAATGCATTTTATTATATTTAAAAGTTTGCAGCAAAGTATTATCTTATTTGAGTAAACATAGTACACGGATTTCCACACAAATTCTGTACATTTTCCTTACGATAAAATATTGTGAATTGAAATTTAAAAAATCTTTTTACTATAAAGTCCATGTCATTTCACATGCGAAATGCAGCTGATAAAACAGGCATTTGTTAAGCAAATACAATCACTGTTAACACATCTTCATGTTACTATGATACACATTTTTGTTATATTGCAGAATTCAGTTTCCTTTGTGTAAAACCACCCTAAACCTGCAAAAATGCTGATTTTTCTTTCCCTTCTCCTTTTATATGTTTTCTGCCTAGGCGGTAAATATTTTGTACTGAGTTTTCTAGGTTTTTTTATCATTTGTAAGGACATTAAAATTTAAAGTTTGAGCAATGAGGTTTGAAACTTAAGAGCAAACAGGTTTTTTACAATTTCTTTTCAACTATTAGGAGTTCTGCTAAAGCTGTGTCCGAGAATTGAACAGATGTTCAGCTTCTCCTGATGTAGTTCAACAGAGCAGGTCTCTGGGGCCCTTAAACACACTTTCAATTTAGTTTCCCACAAAACACAATCAGAGGAAATAAAAGATGATTTTAAACCACTTAGAATACGGAGTCCTGGTGAAGCCACAAGAAGTAAAAGCACAACACAATTCCTTCTTCTGAAAAACCAAAGTTACAGAATTAAGGGAGAAGTCCTAGGTTTGTCGAAGTTAACAGCAAAACTTCTGCTGGCTTTAAGGGAGACCAGCATTTTGCCCTTTGACTTTTAACTCATGACGTTCAGGCACCAGATAGTCCCTGTTCACTTGAACTATCAATAGCATCTCTGCACAAGGCACACCAAAAGCCTTACAAACCGTTCAGAGACTCAGAATGAACTTCCATTGTGTACTGTGTAGTTAGACCTTCACTAGCTTTAACTGCGTCGGTTCATACAGCAATAGCCACAGAAGTGGGACAGCACAGGCTTTGGAGCTGGGAGCAAACAGAATATATTCCCAGTCTGCACCAAAGTCCTGATACGACACCTGCATGATTATTTTTACTCATGATAGCTAGACTAAAGCTATTGCAATTTCAGCAGCCCTCATGTAAGTAACATCATTGGCTGCCTAGTAGTAACCATACTCTGCATAAATGCAGTGTGCAAGGGATGGAGGTTTTTTTTGCTGGTATTGGTCATAAGAAAAATAAACCTAAAAGAAAAAAAGAAATTACATGAAGTCCCAAAAGCATCTACTCCAAACAGCATTCTACCTTGACTTTCAGATAAATTTCATTCCATGGAAATTTTATGCAGTACATGTCTTCCATGTTTTGCCAAACTTGAAACGGTCATAGAGCACTCCTGGCTCCCATGTTTTTGATATTGACCTCACATACCAGTGGCTACTCAAGGAACATGCACTGGACTTTGATCTTGTTGTATTTAGCTACTGAATGATTCATAATTAATGTGTTTATTGACAATTTGATATGCCAGTAATTCATTCAGTTCTTATGGTTCTATTCTTTTATTTCCAAGGCTCAAGTCCTAGAGAATTCAGCAGCATCTGCGAGTGCTTTGTGCATCAAGAACTCAAATCTCACTGTGAAGCTGGGTACCCAGAAAGCCAGAAATATGCAACAAGGCATAATTTTTGAGAAATAAACAGCCTAATTTCCTTGCCTGGCATCTTAAGAACCCCATAGGAATGACACAGGTAGAATCCAGCTTTCCAAGGCAGTGTTCAAGTGCCCCAAGATGCATGTGCACACCTGCAATGGGGCAGTCCCTCATCTCGATTTTGCTTCAACTCTTCCTCTCTTGGCTCTACCGCCCAGCTCCTCCCCTCCCAACATGTGCCACCATGGGCATCTTCCACTCCTCCCCAGCCCAAGTCCATCCCCAGCTCACAGCACGCTCCATGCTCTTCCCCACAGCCCCTTTCGCAGGGGAAACTTCCTCCCTGCAGCATTGCTCTCCTACCCGTTACCCAGATGCAACATATCCTGCTTCTGCTGAATGCTGTGGTTTGTGGAGGAAACCTTCCAATGTGCCCAAATGGAGCCTTTGGGGAGTTTAGCAGCTGACACAGAAGTCATTATCACTAAGCATATATGAACCAAAATTTTTCACAGATGCACTATTTTGCTAAATATGAGCAGATTTCAAAGGAACAACTAAAGGCCAAACCCATTCATAGTTTTAATTAGCTCTTCCTCAATTCTGTAGTCTAGGTTTGGGTTTTGTGGTTGTTGATTGGTGTTTTGGAGGGTTTTTTTTGTAGTTTTTTTTGGGTGGTTTCTTTTTTAATCACAGAGATTATTGAATTGACTCATTCTTGGATGCAAATGAGCTCTTTTGGCTAAATGTCTTAAAAAAGAAATCAGCCTGAGACTAGGCTTGGACAGTTCAGTCCAGGCAGTTACATTTTGTTAAAGTTACAGCAAGACAAAGCAGGGTATTGCAATGTGAAGTACTGGAAGGACAAACTTAATAACCAAATGATCCCATGTCCACTTATAAATTTATTGAATAATAATTCAAAAAATTTGGGAAATAGTAGGTTACTAGAAGCTTTACATGACAAGTTTGTTTCCAAACAACACTGTACCTATGTAATCCAGGAAAAATGTCATGAAGAACCTTAGTTACCTGTTTTAACCGACCCAAGTTACCCGTGTGCTTGCACTTTAGCTTCATCCCAACGATATTATCTGCAGCAAGTAGATATCTATACATTGATTTAATACCAAGACACACGGCAAAGAATCACTCAGTAAATTATTAACGCAACTTCATCTGCTTCTCTATGCAATCTTCCCTTGCAAGTAGTGAGACCGTAACTCTCCCTTGAAACGCACATGTAGCATGTTTGAATCCATAAAAATAAGATGTTAACAAGCTCTGGATACTGTTTAGTTTACAAAAGCCCTGACAAGATCCAAAGGAAGAAGTTAGGGCTACAGGCCAACTTCTGCATTTGAATAGGCAAGAAGTACAGCTCTGTTCACTCTTGGCCCTTTCTAAATAACCACAAAATAATTGATGGTGCCAGCATCTGCTCAAGTGATCTTGTGGTAAAAAAAAAAAGCAATGAGGAAGTGCAAACATACAGTAAACTACTGCAATTGATTACTAGATGTATTGATAAATTAATAGAATCATTCTCTTTGGTGGTTGGACAGGGTGAACTTGAGGTATGAAGAACTATTCCAGTGGGTACTCTACTGCCTGTTTTTCAGTACTCAGAAGTATACATGACAACAAGCTTTGAAGCCCTGTTATATGAGGTGTCAAGATCAGCAATGAGCTTTGCAGCATTTTGGGCGTAAATCTGGCTGACTTTCATCAGCCTTGACCACTGAGGTTTTCTGAGGCTACAGGAAAGACTGTTTGTTTTCTTCAGAAGTGGAGATAATTCCCACTAAGCATGCTTTCAAAATAGTAGTTTTCAGAGAAAATAAAACAGCTTAGCGTTCGCGACTCAACCGATGGTGCATCAGTTCTTAACCTAGAGGCTCTTTGCGCTCTAAACCTAATGTTGTCTCCAAAGCAACTAGTGACCCTAAAAGCCTTTTCTCCCTAAAGAAACGTCTTTCACTTGGAAGTCAATAACCAAGTTTAATTTCAAGTCTGTTGCTTTTCCATTATATTTA